TATATTATTATATATGGTACAATTTACAAATTAGAGCATTATATAGCATTATAAATTGATGAGTTGCATATAGGTCATTTACTGCTTTGTCATTTTAACTGATTAGATGATAGTATTTATATTTTATACGAGTATAATACATAGTTGTATTATTTTTATAAGTGTTGATTTATAAATAAAAATCTAGTATGAACGTAATATGAAATGAATATATTCACAAAAAAATACAAATAATTTTTTCAAAGAAACACAAAAAATATTTTTAAACAGTTTATATTAGAAATACGTGTTATTATCATTGCAGATTATTATATAATATTGTACATTATATATTATTATTTATTAAATCTAGTAATAGAAACTAATGCATTTTTAAATAATTAATAATGAACATTTATGTAGTTGTTCTAAAAAATGGTTGTTTGAATAATTACTACGACGGCTGCTCTCGAAAAATAATTGTTTTTACTATAAATAACTATAAATTAATTAACTATGTTAACTTTTTTCTTCTTATTTATTTCAATAAAGCTATACTTAAAAATAATGTACTTTCTGTAGAGTATAATTTATATAGAATTTGCATTATCTTTAACAATATAAGACTTTTATTTTTATTTTTAAATTAAAGTGTTAATAATAAATATTATAGCATTCTCTTACATTTCATATTTTAGAATAAAATGAAATAAAATACATTTTTTCTAAGAGTATATAATTATAAGTATTTAATATATCTATAAAATCTAATAAAAAGTAAAGAATATTAATTTTATGTACGAACGCAAAGATAAAATGAAAATTAGTATAATATATTATATAGTTAAAAAAAATCATTAAAAAATATATACGTTACTTAATTATTTTTTATTATAAAGGGATTTATGCCAATTTCTCAGATTTTTCGATATATTCAATATTTGTTACATAGGCGTGTCGAAGAGGAAGATTTTGGCATTAGATTTCTTTACAATCGAATTTTTTCAGATCCGTATCACCAGCACGACCACTTTTGAATAGTAGTACCAAACCTTCTCAGTATTTTGTACTTTTTTTTCGTACAATTTCTTACAACCAAAATAAAATGTTGTACACTCACCCAAACCCGATTATTCTATGGTCGTGCAGGGGATACACATGCCCAGCACGGCCATTAACCAATTATTATAAAATTTAAATTTAACTTATACAGTATTATGTACTTTTTTTTGTACAATTTTGTACAAATAAATTAAAATTTTGTACACTCACCCAAGCCCGATAATGATACAATCACCTATAAAATACTGTATTTAGTTTATTACATTTTTCTCATAAGGTCAATGTTACGTACTACGGAGTACCTTTTACCATTCTAATTTATTAAGTAGTAAGTACCATTATACAATTTTTAATTGTTAACTTTTGTTACCTATAAGATAGCAGTGGTACAGATACCTACCTCGTATAAGTACGAGTATATACTTACAATGGACATAGTCATGTCTTAGTATTTTGCATGATATTTTCTTGACATGCCATGTACTTGTATTGATGATATACCTAACTAATTAATAAAGAAGTGAAATATTAATTTAAAACTTTTTTTTTATGAATCCATGTTGAAATTTATTAATATAATAAATAGGTAATAAACCTATTTAATTATTTATGATTTTTTTTAAAACAAAATGACAGATACGCCTAAAGTGAAGTTTTGAAGGATATGGGAAAAGATATAGGATATCAGTATCAGTATCAGTATCCATAGTTTGGATCACCCTATTCGACTATCAAACACAATATTAATTTTCTATTTTCGGAAATAACCATGTATAAAATAAACATTTAGTCAAATAATTCAAGCTACATGCACAAACCAGAAATTGGGGTTTTTCTATTTTTAATTATTTTAATTTATGATTAGTCCACCATATACTATAGAGAGGTATAGTGCAGTGGAAAGTAAAACTCGGGTTATTGATACCTAATATTATCTGACAAACTTGGTCTATACGATAATACAATCGACGCGACTGTGCGGCGGTGCGGGTCCCCTCTCATCATAGCACACACGTGCGCGCCTATCGTTATTGATAACTAAAAAATAAAATAGAATAAAAATAGAATACTACTAAATAACAATTATTATTATTATTATTATTATTATAACTATTAGCGATTATTCTGTATGGTTACAACTATCAGAATAATAAATATAAATATAACTAGACGTAATGGACCTGGTTGTAACTTACATAGCGTTTCTTAAGGAGATATAAAAAAAAATAGAGTCACCAACCTACTGGGCGAGACCATGAGGTCGGACCACAATAGGATTTTTTTTAGAAAAATACCGCGTTAATCAATGAAGTTAACTTGATACTTTTTTTTTGTAATTATTAAAATTGAATAAATTTTAATAATCGTATAATCGTGGTGTTGCTTCAATACCGCGTAACATTCGATCACATAACATGTGGGATGGTTGTTGAGGAAACCGTTGTCCGTACTTTAATTAAACTAAAGATTTTTGACAGGAAAAAAAAATCGTGACCCCGTTGAAGACGGAGCACACAAGAAAAAGACAATTTGTTAAAGTTGAATAATTTAATAAGGTTAATAAGTTTAATAAGTTTAATAATTAATATGAGATTTTACTTAAAGAGAATATTTTATATTAATATGAGGCAAAAAATCGAACGATCAAAAAACCTCATCTAAAATTAAAAGAAAGAAGAAAAAAAAATATATTAATTAAAAAAAATGATACCTACGCTTTTCAAATAATGCAATGAACGCCTTCGGGTACACGTCCCGGATTTTTCTGTGAGGTTGAATTACCATCACATATGGCATTATAACAATATGAAACGGGGCGGATGGTCTGATACACACCCGTCACCGTTGTAGATTTCAATAATTAACAATAATAATATACTTGGCTCATACATAATAATTAAAAAACCGAATACGTTACCAGCCCCGGAGGGCTATAGAAGTTGCGGCCTGGTTTGGCCGATGACATAAAAGAAATCACATTCTGGTTGATGTATAATATAATATAAAAACTATGGTTGCTCCGCACACAACCTGCGACAAAAATGGAGTGTCTCTTTAACTGGCGACGTTATCGTATCACGCAGAGCCAGTATTATTGAAAATAACAAAAAAAAACATCCAATTAAATATTTATAATTCGGCGATATGATGTGCAGTGCAATCCGTCGTGCAACAGACAGAAGGAGCGACGGGGTGAATGCACACACAAACGTCGTCTGTCGACCAAATTGACGATGTAGCGACACAGATAAGACCTCGCACGCGCAACAGAGATCGGAAAAATAATTGGGGCCTCCCCGTGTGTATAGATTATAATACACATATAATTATTTAAAATAATACAATTTTGTCACGTTACAATTCTTTGATTTTTTCCTAAATAAGTTTATTTATATCGATTATCGGTTGGTGATCTGGCCGGAGATAAAGGGCCCCATCGATCGCGGGGCCCTGGGCACGTGCCCAAAGTGCCCAATGGGAAAGAGGTGCCTGATTCCATCGTTGTATTTTTGCTTATGATTTATATCAGAATTTAATACATTTTGCATTCATTGTTTTAATGATATAGTTTAAACCAGATAGTAATTTATTAAAATCAAGAAAAATATATTTAATAAATAAGTAATAAAAATAACTAATACTGTAATGTACCACAAATAATTTTATACTATACTGGAGTTACACTTTTTTTTAATTTTTTATTTATTTAGTTTATTATTTATTATTATTTATTATTATTATTTATTATTTATTTATTTTGCTTTTGCTTGTTTGGAATATTGTAATATTTTTTTGCAATTATATTATTGATGCATTTTTACTTAAGTTTTATATATTTTTTTATATTTTTCATACATATTTGTATATGTATATACTCGTATGTTACATGTTTGTACAAAATATTCTTTATTCTGCTATACCATATATTTAGTCAATAATTTTTTATACTTCAGTTACTATAATAATTACATATATTTATATATTTTAAAATTTAGAAAAATGTCCTTAGTGTGTGTCTTCTATTTTTAGTTAGATACCTAGCTTATGATGTTTGATTTTTTTCGAAGGTATGTTAAATTCATACAGAAATTTTAAGATTGGGTATTTATTCAAATGTGTATATAATATTTCAACATTAGTAAAAATTTGATTATTTATCATAAACCTATGTACTTTTAAACAAATCCCGATAAACTTATTTGAAAGTAGTTCCGAGTTGAGAGTTCATGAGTTTATTTTTCTGTAAATATATGAATTAATACCACGTTTAAGGGGGCGGGGGGTTATGCGCAAGATACCATTATAATCTAAGTAGTATAAAACCATCGGTCAATTAAATTTTCATGGATGAACAATATGGATTTCGACTTAGTCGATCAGCCACCATATGTAACATTGTATTTGTAAATATGTTTGACGCATTTAATAATGGTAACCAAGTAAATGTTATTTATGCTGATTTAAAAAAAAACTTTTGATAGGGTTAATCATATAACGCTAATAAAAATTCTAAAGGCTAGTGGTTTTGGGGAGCCATTTTTATCTTGGTTTAGCTCTTACCTAACAAATCGTATACATTATGTAAAAGTGCTTGATATCAAGTCCGAAGTAAATATTATTCCGTCTGGTGTCCTTCAAAAGGGTCATCTTTCTCCAATTCTTTTCTCCTTGTTTATAAACAATATTAAACATGTTATTCGAAACCGTCGTTTTTTGATGTTTGTCGATGATTTAAAAAATATTTCTTGAAAATTCGTTGTATAAATGATTGTCATCAATTATAGAGTGATCTCGCTGGACTAAGTGCTTGGGCTACTAATATTAGTCTAGATTTTAATATCTCCAAGTGCCTTTTTATGTCCTTTTACAAAATTTGTAATCCAATCATATTTAGTTACACATTGTATAATCTATCTCTCACTGATTCAGGTGCAGCTGTCAGTAATCTTGGTATTATAATGGACCGGGCACTTACTTTTAATAAAAATATTGAAAAAAGATGCTGCAAAGGTCTAAAAATACTTGGCCTCATAAAAAGAGTTTCTACTGAATTTAAATTGTTAGCACCACTTAAAGCTTTATACTGTGCATTTGGCAGGTCAACTCTTGAATATGGTACTGTTATTTGGGACCTTTATACAGCTACTAGTAGGAATCAAATTGAAAGGGTTCAACATAAATTTCTAAACTATGCTGCTAAAGTTCTTCATATTGAACATAAACCTCATAATTATGAACCAGTCCGTACTCTCCTAGAATTATCGAACCTAACTGACAGGCGTATTGCAGCTAACAAGATATTCTTACAAAAACTCATAGATGGCTCTATTGACTGTTCTGAATTGTTAAGTCAACTTAACTTTAAAATCCCCTGTTTCTATTCACGGTCGCATTATCCTTTTTTCATACCACTTTGCACCACCAATTATATCCGTAATAAACCTTTGTTCAGAATGATGCGCATTGCTAATGAGTCTACAGCCACTCCATTTTAATTATATTATGTAATTACTTTTTACTGTTATAATATATTATCTTATACCACTGTACTTTGGGCCACGGACCGTTCTGTAAATAAAATAAAATAAAATAAAATAATCCATTAAAATAATTTTATTTTCCTTTGTGGGGGAACTTATTAAACAATTATAAATAAACAATCACTCAATTAATTTATAGAGTTGAAATTAAATCTAAAACTTGCTTCATGAAGTACTCTTTCATAAAAAAAAAAAGAAAAGAAAAATCGAAATAATAGGATAATTAGTTTCAGAGAACATGCATGACAAATATTCCATTTTCATATTTATATATAAATTATTTTCACTGTTATATGTACAGTTTGAGATTTATACTTAATATAATATAAACGTTTAGGCTGGCTTATAGAAGATTAATTTATATAAAAATACGTATACGAATAGTTATATATATTTATATTACAGTAGAAAATGCGAAAGTTAGTCGGAGTGGTAGAACTCGGTCGATCGTGATAAATTTTTTTTTTGTAACTTAACGAAATACCAAATATGTACTCTTATATTAAAATACAAACACATTAGACAAGTATATGTGCTCAACCTATATATATATATATATATATATATATGTATCATCATCATACGGTTTGCAACAACGGGAGAGATGTCCTGCTGTCATCGTAGGACTGTATAATCGTGGATGCCAGCGGGGACACGAACTTAGTGTACCACAGCCGAGATGCATGCATTAGCAAATTTCTTTCGACCATCATAATGTGTGGTATTAGACACCATTCAATTTTCTTATGCTCTACATTTCAGACGTGCGAAACAATGCATTATATAATAATAATAATATTAATTAGCGAATATAATCTAATTTCTTGCAGGCAGTGTTAAATTAGTGCATTGCGACGAGTGCCTAATAACGCATATTATAATTGGAGGTACGACTCGATAGTTGAGTGTCAACCACTATATTATAATAGTATATAGGTATGACGTGTTTGTTAAACTATTGGTTTCATAGTCAGGGGCGCAATTTAAATGAAAAAACTGGGGGTGCTGAAGCCCTTCTATCATTTTCATGGTTATAAACACCTGAAACCCGTACAATTAAGCACTTACTAAAATATTTGATAAATTTGAATGAATTTTACTATTTTTACATACATTTTTAACAATAAATGTTTATTAAAAAAATTTGGTCCATCCAATCATAATGAAATTTTGAATACAGATAAATATTTGGTTAAAAAAATTTTTTTCTTCGTTAAACGGGTTGATAAAAAAAAAAGAATCTGCCGATAATTAGATTAAAAATAGTAAAATATACTTATAAATGGTTGATTTTTATACAGAACCGTTTTGATAAAGAAATGACTTATCATTTCTTTAAAACTCAGTATATTTACTACTAGGCTTGCCACTCATCTCGGTGTCCCGGTCGATCATTCATTTATCCCGGTTAATAGAAGCTGAAAGAAAATAACATTTAATATTATATTATTTAATAATAAAACATAGAATAATATTGTACGTTATATTATTATATTATGTTGATCTAATTGGTATGGTTATATACAATTATAATGTATTTTGTATTAGCCAATAAATATTTAAATTACAAAATTAAATACTTATCTTGTTTTCATATCAATCAGAATAAAAAAATAGACACTCAATATGATGGTTTAGGTTTAGGAATTTCAAAATTGGGCAACCCTACCTATTACTATTATCAAGTTTGAGGACCGAAGAAACGAAGGATGGACTTCCACCACCATTATTTAAATAATAAATTTATATATTTACATAGTAAAAACTCTGTTTTTCTATACGTAATGAGTAATGAGTATTTAAATTTAAATTAATATGAACACATATGGGGGTGCTAAGCAAACCTAAGCCCCTCAAATTTCCCCTATATATATAGTTCACGGTTATATTTTATTCGTGATTTGACTATCGTTAGATTATAATAATATTATAACATAACATAGCATCGATAATATTATTATAAAAATAAAGATTAAGTATCCTTAAAATAAACTTTTTTTTATCAATATACGGTCACACACCCACATACACACCCACGTGTATATCAATATTTAAAGTAAAATAGGATACTTTAATATAATTTAGTAAACAATATGGCAGTATTTGAGCTGCACGAAACATTTTATGTAGTTAATGAATACTTATTTGTTTTTGCTAGAACACTGCAATAGCACACTGAAATTCAGTTAAAGAAAACAAAGTCTTGGTAACACAATATTTTATTGAATTTAATAATACTTTAACTGGAACACATTATTTAGCACCTTTGGTGCCAATATATTTTAAGTTTTAAAACCAATCAAATTTGCTTGTAAATGTTAAACGGATATTACTAGCTGATTCAACAAAATAATACGCCAATCTAATACTATAATGTGTAAGTATTGGAGGTTTATAGAAAACAACGACTTGAATAATTTTTTAATCTACTCGTATATAGTAGAAGTAGTAGTAATTTTTTGATATTGCGTTAACTTTACTATTCACTAATTCACTGCAGTGAATGAGTGTTAAAATTTGTAGCAAATTTCAGCAGCATTAAAACGTATACAATTATATTAAACGTTTAACATTAGCGAAGAAAGACTTATTGTATTATTCATTGATAATATAAAAGTCGATAAATTTATTATACTTTATGGAAATATTGCTTGACTTTTTGACAAGTACGAAGAAAGTTGCAATAACAGTTGTTATTGTCTTCTAGATTCATTTTGATAAAAATCATAAAAAATCTATATAAATATTGATTCCAAACATAAATTCTTTGTTGTGTTAGTTATGTTCATTTACGTGTATTTTTTATATGCAATTGATTGTATTTAAATAACGGTGTTCCGAGTACAGTTCGGTATTATACAAAATAATCAATATATTTTAAGTTAAAATCAAGTTCTTATTTTTAAATATTTTTCATAAATTAATAGCGCTTTAAGTTTATTGAAAGAAAATATTATTGATATTTTATTTACTTGGTGGAAAACTTATCAATGTACTGATATATAATTATGTAAACTAGGTATTTTTATGTTTTTCACTATTCTAAAAATTACAGGTGATACGGTCATCTATATAATATGGTACTCATGACTTGCAACAATTGTAACAAACTGATAAATGTTAAGACGTTTGCTTTAAAAAATCTTATTACTATCACTGTTCATTGAATAATAATTGTGTTAATAATCTATGAAACTATTATTACCTATATGAATTTTTTTTTTTAATAAGATCAATTATTCAAAAAAAAAAAAAATGTTAACAGATAAATAACATGATTGTAATACCAATTCGCTTGGGATCTAAAATTTTGCCATTTGTATTTTAATTTAGTGTGGGTGGTAAAATGTCACTTTTGATTTAAAAAGTTTGATAAATGACGTCACTGACAAGCTTCAGACTTTTCCGCTTCAATAATCGCCTGCTGTCACTCACGCCTATATGTATATTAATGTCCAAGTCGATAGAATACAATTAGGAGGCGTTTTCGAATAAATTTTTATTTTATTTATACAGGTATATATAGGATGATTTCTTAAGAATACTCACCTTTTTTTATGCCTAAATTATAATCTATTTTCAAATTTTTATTTTAGGAAAAATTTACATGTAAGTACTCGTTTATTAAAATACTATTTTTTGTATCTATATTATGGAGTATTTTTTGGCAATATTTATTTTTATTTTCAATTATGAATACCGTTTTTTTTTCGTAAGTTTTTGATAAAATATTATAAATATTTAAATCAATATTTTTGAAATTATTCAAATTCAAAATTGCATTTGAAAAGTGTGAAATTATTAGAATATTGGTATTTTTATTTTGTCATTATTGTTTTAAGATTATGCAAATATAATATCGTGCGTTGTAATGTGAATTTGAAAAATGCATAATTTTAAATATAATAAAAGAATGAGAATATTTAAGAAATTTCCTGATATAGTTTAGTTTTGTATACGATTTATACACGTTAATAATATATATAAATATATTCATTATTATACATGTAAATATTTAAATTTTAGACATGGCAGTGATTTATTTGACGAGTGACTATATATATTCTATTCAAACACCTACAGTTGGGTATTTGGTATTTCAACATAGGTATCTTTAACTTACAAACGATGGAAATAATCATCTATAAATTGTTTTCGAACGATAATTTCAATCATATTACCAATGGAAAACGGGGCATTTGATGTTGTAAGGTTATAAAAATTAACGGTGTCCATGCGTTGGAATAGGATTTGAACTAACCTGCGAAATTATTGTTTTTCCACATCCGCCAAACAGTATTATTGTCATGAGATTTTTTGGCCGAATAGCGATTTTCGAGTATTTATTACGTAATATGTGTACATATGTGTGGAATAATATTACGACTTAGACCGATATAATATATGTTCAGTGTATACGTTATTCTGCTATGTCGTATCATTAGAAAGATACAAATAGTGAATGAGATATTATCAAAAATCTGTGACTGTACGTGATGGTGGATGAGAGAGTTTCGAGCGTTTCATAACCAAGGGGTCGCGATCACCTTGACTAGGGGCAGCGTAGTTCAAAAATAATAAAATTATGATTAACAAAATGTGCCTTTTTATTGAACAAAAAAAAAATGATTAAAATATTAATAAAAAATAACCCGATAAGGATATACATAAAAAGTGAATAAACATTATAAAATAAATAATATGTATGATCGTTGAATTTGTTTTACATTTAAAAGTTGCTTAATTTGTGGTTGAACATCTAAAACACATAAAAGTGAGTTATTTTCTAGTGATAACAAACGATTTCTGTACTTAGTTTTTTAATGCCACCATGGATGAGAATCTTTTTTCGCTTAAATAAGAAGTAGCGAACGGAATCAAAATTTTCAATGTTTCTGTTACCTCTGTTACTAAACTTTAAATTAATTTCTTCGGGCAAGCCAAAACTTATATAA